TTCACTTTGCAGGTGGGATGACTCAAGGAATAAAAGTCCCTCCTCCTAAAATTTGTTGGGAAAGCTGGGTCTTAGTATAAAACTGTGGGATGCTAGAAAACACCTACACAAGGACTGGAACTTTTTAAGTTGTAAGACTTTGAGAAACTTTGGTTTAAAAACATTCTTAAAGCAAAGTTTTCCAGATGCAAGTGAAACACAAACTTGTGAGCATTTCCCAAAAGGGAATATTAAAATGAATCAATCTCTTCCTCCCCCTGCCCCAAAATACATGACAGACTTCCCAGGAAGCTCACATTGAAAGGCTTTTTTTCACTAGATAGGTTGTGAGGCTGCATGGGCACTTTGAGGACAGAGGCTGGATGCCCTGGTCAGCTGTTGGGAATTGCAGTAGTTCTGGCTGGCTGATATTTTTCTCCACATAGAAGACTGCAAGCTCTGACAGTCTCATCTCTGACAGTTTCTAAGGCTTTCAGATTTTCTTTGTATTTCTAAAAGCCAAGCATTTTGGGTCTCTGGCTTAGAGCAGGATCTTTGACACTTTTGAGGCCTGCTAGGCTTCTGGTTCCAGGGCAGGAAACTTGGCTGAAGTCCTAACACATGGTTGAAGTCCTTGCGCCCTGTAGGCAACCTGCCATGGGGCTAAAAGTCTAGCTGTGATTAAAACTAGAACTTGGCTCTAGCTCTGCCTCTAGTATGGCTGGTTGCACCAGTTTGGAGGCTGAAACCAAGGCATAAATCTATGAGGTTAAAACTAGGAAATGTGAAATGATGCTTTCCAACAGCAACAAAAATGTTCAGAAGCTTATAGTCTCCTCTAACATATAAAATGGTATGGTTTTCCTGGGAAATTCTCCCCAGGAAGGATTCGCTTCTTTGTACTTAAAACAGGCTAGTCTGAGTGCTTGGACAAATAGGTGGGTGATCTGTGCCATATGAACATACATAGATCAGTCACTTTTTCCAAAGATGTATTCTAAGGGTCTTCAAACTTGAAGTCTGCCAAAACAGGAGTCAGGCATTGCATGTGCTGTTATCTCCTCCGTTTTGTTAGACAGCAGCCTGCAGTACTAATCAGAAGCAAAGCTGCTAAACAGCAGATGCCTCTGTTTTGATCTGTAGTGGACTCTTGTGTTGTAGATTTGTTTATTAAGAGACTTCCACTTTCTCATGTTCATGTCACTTGTGTCCCTTGCTCTTTCCCCTGAAGCCTTGCTAAAGCATGTTACTTTGGTACTGCAGTGCCTTGGCCATTTCTTGTTACCTCCTTCACAAAGGGCTATGCTGTTCTGTTTGTGCTTATAATGTACCCAGATGGTGAATAGAATGAGTGACCACCAAGCTCATTTTCACTTGTGGGGTCAGACCTTTCTCTGCTAAATAACACAAGTGTTCCCAGCTGCTGTGCAGCTGCAGGGAGTCTGCTTTCCTTCACAGGCATTAAAAACCCTTTAATCAGTGTTTGTTGTTTGTCAGCAGTGGTGTTGAGGTGTGGAGAAAAAGAACAGATATGCTTTGTTGGCAAAGTTAACTTCATTCTGACCTCTTATCTTTCCTTTTTCTTTTCAAGTCTGAAGAAGCAGAAAGTAGTTTGGGAAGTGGTTTCTGCAAGCACCTGTGTAAACGTATTTGCTAAAGGAGGAGGTTTATTTCTGTATACAGATACAACATTGACACAAATAGATGCTCCAAGAGCTGTGTTGAACTGGAAGCTCTTTAGGGCAGGGACTCAGTAACTGGTGTAGGAGCTGTGCAGGCTCCCTTAATGTAAGCAAATGCTATGAAAATACAAATACTGTTAATACTAGTGTTACTTATGCTTATTTAACATTGAGTCTGCATTCGAGGGGTCCCATTTCCAATCTGGTCAATTTTAACTTTTCCCTGGAAAACGGATTGTTCCTGCTAGTTTTTGTGGATTTTTTTGGTGGGGTTTTGTGTATGTTTGTAGGCTGTTTTTTTTGTGTGTGTGTGGTTTGGTGTTTTTTTTCTAGTTGTGTTTTTAACAGTTCTTCTCATGGAGGAAAAGGGAGGAGAGAGAAGAACTGATAAGCCAGTGACACCATCTCCAGTCCCATTTGTTTTGGCTGTAGTCTGTTCTGAGACAAATGGGAACACAGATATCAAGAAGATGCTCTGAGAAATCTCAGAGCTAAGATAATTATTTTCCTCTTCTTTCTAGATGAAGCTTGGAAACTGCTGGAGCAGCACATGTTTGCACAGTTGCTTTTTCCTTAGTCCAGATCTATTCATGTTGTGTGTCTGTGTACAGCACCAACTGCTCTGTGAGTGATTCTGTTTGCAAAGCCTGTTTGTGTAGGTGTCCTGAAGCTGTTAGGACATCAACGTTTCATGATAGGACGTTCTGTGTTAAAGGAAGAATACTTTATCTTGCTACTCTTTTCCTGAAGGGACCAGAGAATCCTGCTACTGCCTTGGCTGTGCCTGGGGAGGGTTGGTAGCCAGGCATCAGGGCACCCTGTATGCATTGCTCACAACCCTCTGCCTGCAGTGACCAAGGTGCTCTTTTGAAGCAGGGCTGTGCTCCTTGGAAAAGCAGTGCATGCTTGAAGGAAGTGGGAATAAAGAACTGGGATTGAGTAAGTTATGAATTGCAGTCCTAGCTGTTAAAATGATAGATCAAAGTGCCCTTCCCACAAGCAGACATGTATTTCGGTGTTCATCTGGTGTTTTCTTCAAGTGACTGAGGCTCCTTACAAAGGAGAGCAGTTGTGCTGTTGGACAAGCAAAATGCTAGAAAGAAAACTGCTGGGTGGGAGAGGATGGACACTCAAAACAGCTAGTATGTTAAGTGTCTTTGGATGGTGTGTGTTGATGGTCACTTCTGTAGCATGAATGCTTACCAGCTAGAAATGGGAACCACCATTTTACTGTCTGAAAACTGGCAGGGCTGCCAAGCAAAGGCCAGTGGAGCAGCTGCCCTTCTGTAAGCGGGAGTTTTTGAAGCCCTTCTATAGTATTTCTAGGAGATCCAACCTTTCTGGCAGTACTGTCTGATCACATGAGAAGAACCTTGATCAGATAGGCATGATCCTGGATCCTTCTGGAAATTAACTCAGGCTTTTAAAATTATAATGTAGCCGAACAAAACAAGCACCATCTTGTGCAACTATGTAAACCATAAACTTTTTTGGCAAGGCAGGCGTGGCATCTTCAGTGTCTGGAAAGCACCTAACATGCTGTGTGGGCTCCCTACTGCAATCCAAATTACAAATGCTAAAAAGGCTTTGATATTTTTTTTATAACATGGTTCTTAGCTTAATTTGGATAGGCAAGAACTTCATAGACTGCATTGGGGTGCTCTGCATGTTTTCTCAGGCCCTCATAATTCATCAATGCTGACTGCTCCTCCCCATCCCTTTGCAAGGAGGCACTGAAGGAAAGCTGTTCTATAGCCTTAGGTTTAGTTCATTTGTTAGCCCTGAGAAGGACTCTCTGTTCTTCTGAGATGCCCTTTCTGGAAGGAGGGTGTTCCTGGCCCGCAAGGCCCTTCTATCTATACTAAGTAGTTTGGTACAAGCTGCGGAAGGCTTGGGTGAGTTTTCATGATACAAGCTGAGTTTGCAATAAGTTTGTAATACGGTTTGCTGGGAACCAATATTCTAGCTTTTTTGGTGCACCTCTGGATAACTTCAATCTGTGGAACTCAGCTTCTGACACAAGGAATTTGCAAAGTTTCATGCCAGTAGCTCAAGCCCTCAAAGTTGTGATAAATGGCAGATGCATGTGTTCCTCCTAAACCAGAATGGCTTCTGTGTTTAACTGAATACTTAATCGCTGTATGTGCACCATACTGTGCTATCAGGCAGCTCTACTTTTAAAGTCTGTTTATACAGACAGCTGAAAAGCCTTGTGAGTCTTTCAGGGTCTCCGACATCACATACTGGGAGGAAGCTTCAGCATCCTCAGTCTGCTGCTTTTTGCTGTATGTTTACAGTCACTGGTGATCTTAGTACCTTGGGGGCTACAGAAAGGCTCTACTGTAGCTAGAGCAATTACAAGCTAACTTGTGACAGTCCAACCCCTGACAAGAACTGGGCAAAAATCTGGTACAGCTTTACAGTGTTTTTATAGTCTAGTCCAGGTCTCTATAAACCATTTAAAATTGCCTTCAGGTTTAAATTTTCCAATTTCCCCTTTGGAACAGGTGTTGCCAGGTTATAGAAAGTGTTGCAGAAAAGGAACAAAAACATTTTTAAAACTCTGTGCTGTTACAAATTTTGGCAAGTCTCTGACAGATTAAATTTTTTAAAAAAAGTTTGCCCCACTGAAAGTAAAACAAATGCAGACCTTGCTTTTCCCAGCTGTCATGTTTAAATAGGGTTTTTAGTAATGCATGTGTCTTCAAAAGATCCAGCAGTACAGAGCTAATATGTTTTTATATGAAAATATGCACCTTCTCAATTGTTTTTCATCTCACTTAATTGGGGAGAGAAAGGGAGTGAATATTTTTTTAAATATCGAAAAACAAATTTCAGAAATGCATGTTCTCAGAGTGGTTAAAAACCAACCCAAACTAGGCTTCAGGCAATGTTTTTTCAACAGCTTTAACCTCAAAGCATAGAGCAGACAGCTTTGTAGGCAACTGTAACACCAAGGTGATTATGGCAGTGACTCACACTTCCCTGTAAGGCATCCAGCTATCAACACACTTGGAGAGCTGTGGCTTTGTGCATGCAGGCAGGGTGTCAGTCGGTGCCCACTTGCCAGCCAGCTCTGAACTGCTTAGCTCATAACTGCTTTGACAGTGAGCTGGGATATTAGTGTATTAGAGAGCAACTCTGGTCCCCGCAGGCTTGTGAGAGGCTTAAGAGATGGGAGCTTGGGATGGGGAAGTGCAAGGCAGGTTTAACTTCGTTTTTCTTTGCTTAATCCTCATGGAACTTGTTTCAAGAGCCCCTGTAAATCTTCCTGGGAGCAGGTGGTTGGGTTTGGGTAATAGTTAAAGGTCTGACTGACTAAGCACTATGTGGGGTAGCATGGGAAGGGAAGAAGGCTGCTACTATCATGTTCTGCTGAAACTCTATGCCAATGGTTGTGGGAAGAGGAGTGGCAGTCGGGATCCTCAGGAAGACAGTATGAACTAGGGAAAGAGGCCTGGGTGTCCCTATAGGCAGCTTAGAGTACAGCTGAGGGTGCAACAGTAAACTACTGTCAGATGTTGGGATTTACAGGGAACAAGTGAACAGAAAATGGACTCTTTCATGTGCATTGTGGGTTTCTCCATCTCCAAAAGATAAGGCAGAAGCCAAGCTGCCTTCAGAGAAGGGAAACAGCAGTGATCATAGTACAGAGAAAGTCTTCTGGATCAGGAATGGGGAGACTGGGTTTGTTTGCATGGCGAGACTGACAAGAAAGGAGTACCATACTTACACAAAACGGGCTGCATCTGAACTGAATGCTTGGGAAGAGGTATTCAGAAAGATGACAAATTCAGACTTCTGAAAGGAAATAGCTTTTCACATAGCGTGCAACTAGGTTGTGGGATGCATGGAATGCAGTTGCCAGCTGGGCAGGATGTCATTGGGAAGGAACAAAACATGGCTTTAAGTGTGCAGGTATGCTGTTGCAGGTGGCATCCACAGATGACATAAGTAATGCTTTAAAAACCAAATAACTGGTAATATAAGGCTGGCCACATCCATGATTCGACTACCAAGGCCAATCTTGATAGGTTATTTGTGTTCCTTTGTCCTTGTTGATAAGTTTCTTGCACCTCTGACTAAAATTGTCTAGTACCACTTACTTTTTGTGTCAGGGTGCTAGGCAGGCTGGGCTGTTGTGACTCAGAATTGCCCTTCCCATGTGGGTTGCGTTTGGCTTTGCACATCTTATGTTTTCAGAGGTGAGGCAGAGTGAGTAATGTTTCTGTCCTATTAAGGAAAATGGAATGGCAAAGACCCGGAATTTTGTTTTTAAAGATATATGTGTTTCATTTTAAGTTCCCTTCAGGCAAAGTCATCTTTGGTAGGCAGCTTAAACTGCATTATATACCATATTGCTATTGTCATAAAAGCAAAATACATCATGCTCTGTTTTGGGAAAGCAAACAAAACCAATATTTTCTCCCTCCATTTTTTCTTCCTTCAGTTTTTAATAAGTGACCGTGACAGAGACCCTCAGTGTAACCTGCATTGCTCCAGGTCCCAGTCCAAACCCCTCTGTGCCTCTGATGGCAGAACATATGAGTCAATGTGTGACTACCAGAGAGCCAAATGCCGGGAGTCAAGTCTGAGCGTGACACATCGCGGCCGATGCAAAGGTAGGTGGATTTCAAAGGCCTTTGAGGGGAGGAATGGGAGTCTTGCTTCATAAGAAACTAGGTTCTTAGACCCTTGAGTTGTGCTCTATAAGTAATCTGATTGAAATTGTGCATTCCCATGAGCATGTGTATCTGACTGTGAGTGGCAGGAGTAAGAACTGACTAAATTATCAATGAAAGAAAGTGAAGGAGCCAGAGACATTACTGAAAAAGGGCCAAAATATGTGTCTGCAGAGCAGAAGGAGGCAGCCCCATGGAAATACAAAATCAAATCCTGAAAGAGGAGATCTTCCTTGCTGCGTGTGTCAGAGAGGAACTTGGATACCTTTGAGTGATAGGAATGTGGAGTGGAGAAGAACGTGCGGTGTACAGTAGATGTGTAGTCCTTTTCTGGACATACATAGCCTTTGTGCTGAGCTAATTAAGAAGATAGAATGTGTGCAAGGCTTTACATGGCCTCTTTTTGCCTGTTTGCTGTTACACATCTACTTAAAAGTGAGAATATTGTTTCTTTCTCAATACAGCTCTTCAGCATAGTCTAAAGGTGAAGTTGAAACTTTAAGGAATATTGGTGTCTTGTCACACAAATGGTTTACTGCTGCAGTGAAGTGGAAAACCAAGTTGAGCGTCTTCTGAGAGCACAATTGACTCAAGAGGGCAGATGGCACAGATGTTTTTGGCAATTGGTTAAAGTGACAGGAGAAACTCATTAAAATCCCTGTGGAAGGATAAATAGGCATACATTTAAGCCTGGCTTTTGTTTATGAAGGCTTTTCTACTATTACAAAAATGTGTCTGTCAGAATTACTTGTTCTAAAATGGAAATCGCTTTTCAGTGTATTGACAAGCTTTGTAGTTTAGGTGAATTATGAGCATGACAGCATGACTTCAAATATTGCTCTTTTTTTAAACAGTTTCTCATTGGAGAAAAACTTACTTGTATGATTTTTTTTTTTTCCTCACCACTGCTGGGTTGCATTATGGCAGCTTCTCTCCCATAGCATAGAAAAAGGCCTTTGAATCATGCTGCTTTCTCAGTGCTGGAAACCCAGAAGCTTTTTTCCCAGGGCCCAAGAAGCAGTTGGATTGTTCTTGCAAGTGATGTGTTTTTGAGTATCGTGATAAGAAGTGGAAGGGTGGGAGTCCTGCTTTTGGTTTCATCACTTGAGCAGAGTGGCTTAGATAAGCAACTCCATGGCTAATATTGGCATATAAACTGGCGCTGCTCAGTCACTTAAAACCCAGGATCTGAGATGTAGTACATCCCTATGCAAAAGTACCTGTTTCTGGAAGCGGAGAAAATGTCAATTGCCAAACTACACAGCCTACAGTATATCATGATTGCAAGGAGTCCCAAAGAAGTAAATAGAGACTTTTTTCTTAAGCACAAGTAAAGTATACTTTCCTTTCTGATCTCTTGGACGCAACTGAAATGCTTAGCTGAAACTACTTGCATTCTCCTTTCCTGTTTTTGTCTTACCCCGTGGTACTATACAGTACCTAATAACCCAGGAGCGTTGGACAACTGAAAGTCTTGCTTTTAACCCACTAACACTTCCATGAATTCATGGGAAGTAGGAATATTCTTTTAACTATCACATTCAAATTTAACCTTGCTGGTAATTTTCATTTGTGGTGCTGTTGAAAGGTATTTTGTTTTTCTAGCTGCACTAGGAATACGACCTCTAGTTGGTCATAAAGATCACTGCTCTTGGCAAATACAGTTGGGAGATAAGTGTGACTAACTACAGGTGGTTGGCCAGGTCTGTATCTTGTACTTGCACAAAGGAAGGTATCACCAGCAGTATTTGAGCACCTTCTACTGCTGCAGTAGGGCATCAGGTTCACCCTTGAACACCCTTCATTCCTTTTGTGTGACAGAGATGCTCTACAGGGGAAATCCCATAGAACTGGAAGGGATCACATGGGCCATCAAGCCGAGTCACATGCAATTGTGATAGATACCATATCTAAGAACTTTTCTTTATGAAACGAGCAATTTTAACTTGTGCTTCCTTCTTGGGAGGGGTGGGGGCAGGGACAGGGAAACCAGGTACTTAAATAAGGAAAAGAGGAAGTATATTGTGGACGGCAAGGCATAGTTCTGCACCCCAGATTACCATAGGTTTCCAATTTCACATGCCAATAGCTTGAACTGTGCTTGTGCCAAGGCAAGCAGAATGGTTTCCATAGTGAGAACAGAACCTTTGTGATTCATCTTAGCTCTCTGCTCTCTCTCAAGAAGGTAAGGACCTTTAAAGATGAAATCTTGCTAGCCCTTTGGGAACTATAACTCTTATTCAGCTCTCATTCCTTGCTAGCTTCCTCATGTGCTTTTCAATGAAATTCCTTCAGTGCTAAATTATCTGAACTCCCTCCGAACTCTCACTGACACATCACAAAGGGTTAAAAGTCAGGAGTAGCTTAAAATGATCAAACTATGGCATCCATGACAAATGGAGCCTCATTGATGAGATTCCAGAGAATAGTTCCAGATGGCATAGCTGTGCATAAAATACACAGCCAGGCACTCCTACCTGGATCTTTTGTCAGCAGGCATCTTAAGATCTGATGTCAAAGAAGAGTTCTGCATCAAAACTTTTCAGGGATGAAGGATAAATATTTGTGAAATGAGTCTTGGCACACTGTCAAGATTATGCAGTAGTTATTAGGATATATTGGATATCTGCGGCTTTAAAACATGTTTGAGTTCTGTGTTAACTGGTTGGCTTCTAGGAACTTGTTTAGCCTATTTAAAAAAAAAAGAAAGGGGGTGGGAGTATTCTAAAAAAATCCGTTTAGATTTATAATGGTCGGTCTTGGAAGTCTGCTGGTATAGAGCTTGTTCTTATGTCACAAGTTGCTATGTAGAATGGACCTATTAGTAAGTTACTGGTGGGAATTGTAACAGGGATCTGCAGCCCATCTCCTGGGACACCTGGATGAACACAGCTTTTGGCAAATGTGCTGGAAAGGAAGGTCTCCTTCTGACTAGTGATGGGTTCTTTGAAGGTAATCTTTCTTCTCTACCTACTATTCTTGTTGGACAGGAGATTGTATTTTGAAATCACCTTGTTTTTTTTTTCCTTTCAGTCCACTTGCTAGATCCTTGTGTTTTGTCTTTGAACTTTCTTACTCTTAGTCAAGGGAGAATAAAGTGGGTCCTTCCTTGGCAGCAGTTAGTAAATAAAATCTGAATCATAATCACATTACAAATTTAGGCATGTGTTTAGGTATGCTCCAAATAAGTTAGGGAACTCTGCAGTAGAAATGGTGTGTGGCTGTCAGAGAAGGAAGAAGGTATGTCAACATGAAAGGAAAGACATTGGAGATTCCAGGTGTGGTACTTGTCAGAAATGAAGTGGAAAACAACGGAGAGAGTGGAGAATGATTGACACCCTGTGGGACAGATGGGCATGTTTTTGTAGTTTGCTCAGCTTCCATTTTTTGCCTGTTTTATGCTAAGACACAGATCATTGGCTGGAGTAAATGGGTCTGAATCTGCTGACTTCAGTGTTGCTGGACTGCTTCATGCCTGGTGGGGACCTGGCTTGCATGTGAGACAGTTACCTAATGGAACTAGAAATAGTTCAAGAGCTGCTTGGATCAATTTTTACCCTTTGAGCTTTTGATAAAAATAAAGTAGAATTAAAATTAAATAGCTAGACTTCTGTGGTTGCACCATATAGATTTGCTGCTAGTGTTATGTGGATGCCTGGAGATGTTTTACTTTGTATTATTAGGATAGCTTGGGTCTTTATACCATGATGTTGTGTGGTGTCAAAACTGCCTCTGCCTGTTGAAGAGAGGATGCTGGAATTCTTGGGGCCTTTTCAGGAGTGCACTGGGTATATTATGAGGGACATGGTGGTCTCATTTGAATAAACTGTTCGTGGATAAGATCAACCATGGTAACTAGCCAACTTAATTGCAAAATCAAAAATTATGTGCACCTGCATTCTGCAGATTAGGCAACAGATGTCAAAAACATCACTTGCAGTTCACAATCTCCTAGTTGCCAGCTACCAACTTGAGAATGAGTTTTCTTTAAAAGGCAGCTTTCTGAGCAGCAGTAATCTGTCCTAAGTTTAAAGATATTTAAAGTCAAATTATTAAACAGTTCTGCATTTTAAAGTGTCATCCTGTTTTGGTTTTTCACCTTATATAAGGGAGGGGAGAAAGTCTTATTTAGTCTGTCTGGACTGTGAAACTGGAATGCACTAATGCCATTCTGTTTTATAAGCTTAGTGTTTGATACTCCAGAGAACACTTTCAAGAAGAGGAAAGAAAAAGTGCTGAAACTCAGGTGAATAATCAAGATGCACAGTAGGGTATATAAGCCTGTTGTTACAATGTAGGCTTTAGTAAAATTGGTAATGCGTATTATATTTAGGGTGAGCTATTTGGCAGATACTGTTTAATGTTTGGCACTTACATAATATTTTACATTTTCTAATTAACAAAGCAAAAATAGCAAGGTGAAGTCATCCTGCT